CTGGGCGGTGCCCCGGGGGGGGGGGGGGGGGGCGGTGCTGTGGGAGCCAGGCATGCAGCGCCTGATGGCAGCTATAAGGGATGCCGCGCACCCCTTACAGCTGCCATCAGGCGCCCCTCATCGGTTGGCACCCTGGGCAGCTGCCCGGCTCACCCATGCCTCTGCCGGCCCTGCGCAAGGCACTGGGTAGCGCTTGCGTTGCTGCGCTCTAGGCAAACCCCCTCTGGTCGGTAGGGAGGGAGGTGGAGCTATTTACGGCAGCCTGGCAAACCCATTCATGGGCAGAGAGCAAATAGAGAGTCTGCCCTTCTTTGGAGCGCTTGTTCCAGGCCTGCACTCCCCAGCCTGCAGTCTCTCTCCATCCCTGCAGATGGGCAGCAAGCAGCCAGCTTGGCCCGGAGGAGGGAGCCCTTTGTGAGAAGTGCTGACCGGCCAGGCCAGTCCTGCTTCCCTGCAGTAGCCCTTTGCTCCCCGGGGGAAGGGCAGCCAGCAGGGTGTGCCTGTCTCAGCGGTAGGGAGAGAAGAGCAAAGGGAAGAGCTCAGCCAGACGGCAGTGCTGAGACCCGGACAGGCAGGACAGGGCGATTGTCCCCCTGGGAGTAAGGTTGTGTCCACACGGGGAAGGTTTGGTGACAAAAGCGCTTGTTGACCTGCAAAAGTTAGCGAAAGTGAAAACTGGTCAAATTGTTTTTTCTGCCTCCCATTGTTGACATTTCATGGCCACGTGGCTCGCTCCCTGTCCAAAGAGAGCACAAAGCATTGTGGGTAAGCAACCCACAGCGCAGTGCCGTGGGAAGGCAGAACTGATCCTGACGCTTCTTGGAGTTCCCTTGTACTCACGCACAGACGCCAGCCTCTGACTGGTCGCTCTGTCCCGGAGCAAGTCAGCAGAGCCTGGGAGCTCTGAAAGGGGCATGCCCATGCCTGCAGGGCAGACAGCTGAGTTCCAAAGAGCAGAGGCGACTTGAGGGATTATGGGCCATTTCCCAAGGCCGGTCTCAATGCAATCAACAATTCAAGTGTCCACACTGCCCCACAGTGCTGTATCCAGAATGCAGCAAGCTCTACGCGTCTCACCGAGGGGGTTTACCTAGAGCGCAGCAACCTCAAGCAAGTGCCACCCAGTGCCTTGCCGGGGTGGGCGCCTGGGGTGACAGCGCTGGGAGCTGAGTTGCTTGCCAGTGTCGACTGTCGAATCAGCATCAGGTGGATTTCGTAAGGCCTGGCCAGTCCCCTCAGCCGGAGCCACACGCTCGGCCCCACCCCTCTGGAGAACCCCAAATGCCCCCACCGCTAACCAGGCCAGAGGCGTCCCGG